AGAATGGAGTAGCTCCTGTAGATGTGTGTACTGAAGTCCCATAACCATGAAGAGCAAAGGATAACATCTCGTGCCAGTCTTTAAATGAGACAACCATCTTTTGCACTACTTTCTTGATGTTCCTATTGGTTGCCTCGACTGCCCCATTCATCTTCGGCCGATATGGGGAAGCGTTGTGGTGCTGGATCTTGAATTCTTGGCACAGCTCTTCCACCATTTTATTATTCAGATTAGATCCATTTCAGTGATGATTTATTTCTCCATGCTTCCACTAGATTATTCTAAAATCGTTTGGGACAAGAGAGAAAAGAAAGGAAAGATATTTTTGTTCTGAAGTTTGTGTTTTTAGAGGGGACTTATTTTTCAAAAATGGTTTTTGTAAGAATGGGTGGCCGAGGTAGGCTTATGTGTTTAGGCTTGTTTGACTAAACATTTATGAAGTTAACCAAATCTTGTTATTAGCGTTGTGTGTTGACAACTTGGATAGTTCCCCTTGAACCTTTCTTTTGAATTCAGCTCATGGTACCATCATGGATTTATTTTGCTTGTCCTTATTATTGCCTAAAACACCCCTTTGTGGCGTCTTAGCGGACTTTTGTTTTTAAGAAAAAAAATAATTGAAACATAAAAAATAAAAAGATTAGTGAATGTTTGATATTTAAGATAAATAATTTAATTCTAAATTGATAATATGAAAAACTTTGTAAAAATAATAAATTATCAAATATCAAATATAAAAATCAATTAGAATGAAATTAAAGTTGAGGATGTTTATTTGTAAAAGAAAAATAAAACTTAAAAATTTATTGAAACAAAATTAAAATTAATAATGTCTATTTTCAAATCAAATAAAATTTAAGAATTGATTAAAATAAAATAAAATTTTATGGTATTTATTTAAAAAAATAAAAAAATAAAATTTAGCATGATTGATTACTCTTTCTCCTATATTTTTTCTTATATTACATATTCCTTTTCAAAGACGTATTTAAATTACATTAATTGTCCTTCTTCTGATTTTTAAAATTGTATTTTTTTTCTTTCTTTCATAAACAGAGGTGTATATCAATATAGGCTTAAATATATTTTTAGTCCCTTAAATTAAGGATAAATTTGTTTTTGATCCCTCAAATTTAAAATTATTATTTTTAGTCCCTGTAATTTTAATAAATCTTATTTTAGTCCCTTAAATCACCAATAACATACTTGAAAGTGACTAATTAAGACAATTACTTAATATCAACCAGGTTTAATGTGATATTTTCACTAATATGGACTAAATATGTTTTTAGTCCCTCAAATTAAGGGTAAATTTTTTTTTGGTCTCTTAAATTTAAAATTGTTATTTTAATTCCTGTAATTTCAAAAAATTTTATTTTAGTCATTATATTCAAATTTTATTAAGAAATTTATCAAACATAATTGAATAAAATCTACCTATTCGTGTCTCTATTAGTGAAAATACCACATTAAACCTGGTTGATATTAAGTAACTGTCTTAATTAGTTACTTTCAAATATGTTATTGGTGACTTAAGGAACTAAAACAAGATTTTTAAAAATTACAGGAACTAAAAATAATAATTTTAAATTTGAGAGATCAAAAATAAATTTATCTTAAATTTAAAAGACTAAAAATATATTTAAGTTATCAATATATTAATGAGGTGGAGCTGGATTTGACTAAACTTATTACACGAAACCAATCAAAATACTTCATGTTGGGTTGGACACTTGGGCTAGATGTGTGCCCCTTTTCTAATTGAATCAAAAGAAACCAATTTAATCGATAACAAATTAGTTTAAGTTGGGTCAACAACTTGGGAGCGACAGTTTATAGTTAGCCATCGGCTAATCGATTGCACGAGAACGAACATAGTAAAAGTATCAATGAACGATTCTTGAATAAATTAATATTACCCAAGCATACACGAAAATAAAAAGTGAATAATTGTACATTTGGCAACAAGCTAGCAGCAATGACATAACCAGTTATTCATAGAAGAAAGAACTTTTTTATCAGAAAATACTCTATTTTGGATGGATAAAATTTTAAAAATGATTTTAACTTGTATTCAAATAAGTTCCAAGTTCTCTTATGGGGTTCTCAAAGGTGGTTAATAATAGTTTTTTGTTTCAACAATGTGCCAGTCTCTCCATCTAACTTCAGCGCCTATTGATACAGGTCAACCGTTTTGTGATTCTGTTCATTCAGAGAATGGTTAAGGCTAATTAATACTGGTCGGAGCTGAGAAATCTCTTGTTGAACATCTCATACTTCCCTTCCAATTCACTCAGCAATAAAGCGATATGCTCATAATCCACCCTTTCGGCTTCATTGAATATCTGAGAGTGGTAAAGGAGGCATTAAATTAACACTTGTGCACATAATTCTTGTGTTTCATAAGGGGAAAGGCATCCTGTGGCACTTGAGGACTAGTCAATGTTTCTCAACCGATTGTTAATCTCTGTAATTTCATAAAATTTTCACTTTTGATCCATATAGTAATAGACAATAGAGATTAGTAAATGGAATAAAACCATAAACTTCACTTTATTAAAGAAAATACTTTTTAAACTGTTTAATGAATTGGATAATTCATTTTTACTCACACATAAGTTGTTTAGGTGCATCCAGCCGCCGAAAAGATAAAAGCTAATACGGTTTGAACAGCTAAATATATACAACAAAACTAATCAAATTATAAAATCTAAATACCCCATATCATTTAAGTGTAGCAAGTCAAAATAAATAAAAATTAATATGGTTTGGATAGCCAAATAAACATAACAATTTAAGTTATAAAATCTAACTAAACCATAGCAATTTAGGTAAAACAAGTAAAAACGAAAAAACACAACTCCCATTCAAGATATCCTTAGCAAAATTGACAAAATGGTCAGCTAGTAAGTGGGGATGGTTGATGGAAGAATATTTCTCTTTAAATCAGAAAACATGTTCAGAGTTGGAACTTGGAAGTAGATAATCTTGAGAACATACTCAGGTAGCTTGAACATTTTTCTTCCATTCATCAATTAGCTTCTTAACAATAACCTCACAACTCCCACCAACACCAGCAGCATTTCTAGCAGCCTTCTTCATTTCTTCGGCTTTGACCCTCAGAGATTCATTCCCCATCATCTCTTTGATTCTGTCAGCAATCTCTTTCCATTTCACAACATGCTCTGATCCCCACCCCCACTCCTGAGGCCAAATTCCCACACCATTTATCCTCACTGCCTCTGATGTTATCTTCTGATCCCCACCCTGAGGCCATGTCAGAATAGGCACTCCTTCCCACACACTCTCTATTACTGAGTTCCACCCTCCATGACTCACAAAGCCCCCCACTGAAGGGTGGCCTAGAATCCCCATCTGATCCACAAACTCCTTCACAACCACACCCTTTTCCTTCACCTTATTCATCAACTCACTCCCCAACACATCCTCCAAACCCTCCTCCTCTTCTTTATCAACAACCTTCAACTTCACCACCCACAAAAAGCTATACCCACTTTCTATCAAACCCAAAGCCATGTCTTTTATCTGCTCCCTCCTCGTCTCAGTTCTGCTCCCCAAACTAACATACACCACCGACCCTTCACTTTTTCCATCAAGCCACTCCAATATCGAAAAATTAATAATGTCTATTTTCAAATCAAATAAAATTTAAGAATTGATTAAAATAAAATAAAATTTTATGGTATTTATTTAAAAAAATAAAAAAATAAAATTTAGCATGATTGATTACTCTTTCTCCTATATTTTTTCTTATATTACATATTCCTTTTCAAAGACGTATTTAAATTACATTAATTGTCCTTCTTCTGATTTTTAAAATTGTATTTTTTTTCTTTCTTTCATAAACAGAGGTGTATATCAATATAGGCTTAAATATATTTTTAGTCCCTTAAATTAAGGATAAATTTGTTTTTGATCCCTCAAATTTAAAATTATTATTTTTAGTCCCTGTAATTTTAATAAATCTTATTTTAGTCCCTTAAATCACCAATAACATACTTGAAAGTGACTAATTAAGACAATTACTTAATATCAACCAGGTTTAATGTGATATTTTCACTAATATGGACTAAATATGTTTTTAGTCCCTCAAATTAAGGGTAAATTTTTTTTTGGTCTCTTAAATTTAAAATTGTTATTTTAATTCCTGTAATTTCAAAAAATTTTATTTTAGTCATTATATTCAAATTTTATTAAGAAATTTATCAAACATAATTGAATAAAATCTACCTATTCGTGTCTCTATTAGTGAAAATACCACATTAAACCTGGTTGATATTAAGTAACTGTCTTAATTAGTTACTTTCAAATATGTTATTGGTGACTTAAGGAACTAAAACAAGATTTTTAAAAATTACAGGAACTAAAAATAATAATTTTAAATTTGAGAGATCAAAAATAAATTTATCTTAAATTTAAAAGACTAAAAATATATTTAAGTTATCAATATATTAATGAGGTGGAGCTGGATTTGACTAAACTTATTACACGAAACCAATCAAACGAGTCTTATTTCCGACCCGGACAATTTTCGGGGTCTACAGTGATGAGGCTTAAGGCTTCAGTTGGGCATGCTCTGTTAGGATGTGACATCGGGGCTTAGCTAGCTTAGTCTAATATGTTATTGTTTTAATAACTTTAGTTTGTTTTTTTTTGTAATTTCTAGCAAAGAAATGACGTAAATAAAGTTTGTAATCTTTATTTTGTAATTTTGAACGTCCTTGACAAAAGACCAAAATGTACATCTTTGTCATATTATTTTTAGTACATGATTTGAAAGTTATAAATTAATTCCTAACTAGGAGGCACTTCCACCTTTGCTGGAATTAATCTATATTTTCTTTTATATGATTTCTTGAGTTTTGATACTTACATGTTGACTTTCTATGATTTATGAGTTACGAATGTGAATCTTCTATCTTATAATATGTGAGACAATTATTTTATCCATGAAAGATGTTATCAAACTATGAAAGGCTTTATTTACTCAAAAAGAAGAAAAAAAATTTATTATTTACATTTATTGTGTATTAATGTTGGGGTAGAGGGTGTCACACAAGGGGTAAGGTTCAATTGAGAAGATGGCGTCAAGATGAACTTCAAAAAACTCTCATAATCGACATCTTCTACACAAACATCAGAATTAATTATATCCTTTGGAAAAAGAGGTGTTGGTCTAATCTGACAAAGCCCGAATTGACGGGCAAAGAGTTGAGGTTGATAGGGATAAACTCTCACATCCCTTTGTTTCATACCAGTAAAGATGAGATCCCAAGATAGGAATCCCATCTAGATTTCGACCATCTGCTAGGAAATCTGTCCTATTTGATTGTTACCAATTAACCAAGAAGGCCCTGCCAAATCAAAACGGATGAAAGGAGCCAAATCATTCGAGAACTCCTCGAATTCAAGAATTTCCTGGACATAACGAGCAAAACCATCAACAGACCTTTTTCTTGGGAGTCAAAACAGTCAAGCGAGCGCCTTCGAGAGAATACCGAATGGAGGCTTGGAGAGGAAAAAGCTTCAATTTCTTCTCGAAAATGGCATTAAGCCATAATTGCAAAAGCTAGAGTGGCCCTATGAGGTACTTGGGAACTTGTAGAGAATGGGTACAAAAGACATAAGCAGATAGCCAATAGAGCAAGAAGACAATGTGCTCAGAGTCAGTAACAGGGGTACCTTCTTCGCCATGATGTGCACTAACGAAGGCAGAATAAGTCTTTTTGTCCCAAACAATTGAAGTTTCGGTCATCGGAATTTCTTCTTCGAGAATTTCAGGAAGATAACGGTCCCCTAAGGGTTTCAACCCCGTAATGGCAGCGATAGCCAAGAGAGTTGGGCAGACAAAACCACAAGGAAATTTGAAAGCATGAATTTCCCTGTTCCAAAAGAAAATAGCAGATAATAACATTTGGGGATCGAAAACGTTCAGATCGTATTTTGATAATTGAACGAAATCGAATATTCCAGCTTCTTTCGAAATAGATTGCTTCGAGGGCTCAACACGTTCCAACCATTGAATGTGTTTGTCCTTAGGAGAAGGAAAAGCCCGAAACATCTTCGTGGTATCCAAGAAAAGAGAAAGGTCGATGGTTGGAGAATAAATGAAAGGAAGAGTGGAATTGTCTTCCAGAAGCAAATCAATATGAGTCTTCTTCTTACTCGGATTCGAAAAAGGGCCTAGAATAGCATGTATTGATCCGTCAGAAAGTGAAAAAGGAAGAAGTACCTGTGATTGGAAGATTTTAAGACTGGCTCCCTCCATGCCAAGAATAGGAACGAATGGGTTCGCCCCTTCGCTCAAGGTAGAAATAGTTGCATTCTCCATCAACAAAGGAACGGAGGGAGTAGAGGAAACCGTCGAAGTCGCAGGTGTAGTCGTAGACGCGGACGCAGCGGAATTTGCCATGGAAACAAGACGAAGATGAAAAATTTGAAGGTAAAGAATGAGTGAGTGCTAAAAGGCAGTAAAACATATTCAAATGGGCGAAGTGAAAGGTTATATGAAAGAGCAAAATGGGCCAAAGAGCAGTAAAAGCCCACTGTGAAATTCAAAAAAGGGGGAATTCAAATTTTTGGGTAACCGAAAATATTCACTAATGGACAAAATTTGAAATTGCGTCAGCGTATCCTAGAGAAGCGGAATCAGTGCCACCAAATTTACTGTAGCAGGTACGGAAAGGAGAAATTTGGAATTAATAATGTCAGGGGCATTTAATTCTCGCGAAGAGCACGTGGCTCTAGGGTCTTATCAAAGAAAGTTGAGGTATTGGAAAACATTCTTTCTCAGTTACCTCGAAACAAATGTTTTCCAGGGGCATTTGGTAGTACCTGAAAATAAATTCGGAGACACTCAAAATACAGGGGTGCTCGAAATCCTAGATGTTCAGAAAAAGACAGAAAAGTTTCTAAAGAAGGCATACGAAGCTTGAAGAGAATCAAGAGATACACGAAGACATTTTTCGTGAAACTCTTGAAATCCTCGAACTAGGAAGGATGTTGTCCAGGAAAAGGGGCTCACTACCTCGCAACCTCTCAAAGTATAAGCAGAATCAGGAAACATTCAAGTATAGTTTTCGTTGGTTACTCGAAATCTCAAGGATCCGGACATACGCGAATACACTTCATAACCTCTCAGAATGAAGAACTTAAAGAAGACACGATTTAAGAGTGGTTGAAGTAACATGGGATAAGTGTCAAAGGCTGCAAAACGGTTTGGGGAAGTTAAATGATCGGTTCCAGAAGTTATCCAATGACGTGCCCGGGAGTAAGCCACTATGTGCAAGTTTAGAACAGTTATGCACTTCCGGGGCACGTCAGAAACAGTTCTTTTTCCCAAATCTTTGTCTATAAATTAAACGAGTCATGCTCGTTGCAAAAGGTCAGAAATCTAATTCCCACAATACCTCACACGCACTCCGTAGTCTGCGCATAAGGCATACTATGCATACGAGACAGCTTTGGGTATGATTTCTCGACCACTTTTATTTTTCCTTTTTAGGAGTAGCGTAGCATAGCGTACCATAGCATAATATAGCCTAGTGTAGTGTAGTCATTCTGAACATGTTTTGTTATCCTTACAAATTGTAATTCTGTTACCATTTAATGAAGGATATGATTTCTGCAGTCAATATACATGTCATCTGTTCGATGCACGTTAATTCTTACATGCATGAATTTGATTGTACAATTAGCATAGATCATCTGATGTGCTGAAACAAACATAGATCTTCTGACGTGCTAAAAACTAGCATAGATCTTCTGACGTGGTCGAAACATGAGCATAGATCTTCTGAAGTGCTCAAATAACGAGCATAGATCTTCTAACATGCTGAAATAACACCCTAATCAATTGACTCTGTTTGTTGTTTATACGATTTATTCTTTCCCCAAAAGTCTTTGATTTTGTCATGTCATGAACACGCATAAATTGAAACGTGCAATCGTGCTAGTTCGAATAAAAAGAACCTTCAAACGAAATCCTCCATAAACAATATCATAATTTATCAATCATTCATCATTTTCACATCTCAATTCACAATTACATCAATCCATCACAATCCACATAAATTTTACAATTAACATTATGTCAAGGCCACGCCACAACTGACACAAGTGATACGGGTTAATTGTCTCACTCATCCCACACCATGTTAGGGGCACGCTCGTCCTTGTAGCATCACTTACCCAAGGTTCGTCTCATTCCTGGTCATTAGTGTGAGGAACCATAATCACATTACAATCCACACAAATCTTGCAATTAACCCTATGCTAGGGCTGCCATATTTGACATAAGTGATGCGTGTTAATTGCCTCACTCATCCCACACCATGCCAGGGGCACGCTCGTCCTTGAAGCATCACTACTCAAGGTTCGTCTCATCCCTGGTCATTAGTGTGAGGAACCACAATCACAATCATATTTACATCCATATAACATCTCATCTCATTGCTCAATTCCATATCACATACACAATTCCACATCACATACATAACAGATAAGTCCAACAAAAT